TTGAAATTTCTCATTGAAAAAGGAATGACATTTTAAGATCCACTATCTTCTTCTGAATATGAACCAGATCTTCTCTATCTCCATGGTAGCTCTCTCTGGTTAGGTTCTTTCTCCTTTGCTTATCCTTTTTTATTTGTTTGTTTAATTTTTAGCAGCTTATTATTGATATTCAGGTTCTAGTCTGAAGGTATGGGGAATTATGCCCCAGGCCTCAGAACCTTCTTACTGTTATTTTCTGAGCTCTGTCTGGGGCCCCAGCCTTGGACACTCCTCTCCACCCATAAAGCTGGGGCCCCTAGCTGCACTGTCCTGCAAAAAGCTCTTACTCCCTGTTGTCCTTCTAGAGGCTGCAAATTCCAACTGTTCACTTTGCCCTGGAACCAAAACCAGGGACTCTGCTCTCCTGCAACTGCCTACAGCCAGCAGAGTCCATGTCCCACTGCTCCACCCCACTCATCAGGTGTGTGCCAGTTCCTTCTCCCCCACAACAGCACCCAGACCCCATCTGGTCAGCACAGTTGTTTTTTGGCGTCCCTTGACAGTGGAAGGTCCTTCAGTCTTCTGCTGCTGAGCCTTCCAACCCCCCCACACTGTTCATGAGGTGAAAGTTCCTGAGGCTGCAGCTGCCTCCCAACCCAGCTGCCCCCAGAACTTGTTGTTTATTGATTCCCTGGAGTTGGCCTGGAGGTGTTTGCATTTCACTTAGGCCAAGCTTCCATCTTTGGAGGTCCAATCTTTCCTAGGGTCTTCTCACATTGTTTAAGAGGACACCTATTTTACCCCGACTTTTGTATATTTCTTTTGCTCTGTGATCACTTTGAGGAGATGTTCTGGTTTTTGGGGGGTTTTTTGGAGGAAATTTGTAGAGCCTAAAGTTTTCTGACCTATTGCACCATCTTCCAAGAATCCTCTCAATTTAGCTGTTTTCTCAGAGGGATTGCCAGCCACTCTTGAGTCTTGAAGATATGATCCCAGCCTGCCTTTTCCTGTCTACCTTTGAACTTTTGCTTTTCCGTAGACTCATAGGTTATAAAGAAGCATTGTATCTCCTCATCTAATTATGCTGAAATGAGTTGCAAGGCTAATATATAATATAAAATTGTCCACTTGTGTTGGCAGTACGAGTGTCAGTTGCCTGGCAACTCCATGGAGGTAGTCAGTGCTTAGTGTCCTGGGTTTATATTATTTAATTTCTTTCCCTTCACTCTTTTCCCCTTCAGGAACTTTAACCTGTTCTCCTTCATAACAGGGCCAGTTCGATTCTCCTTAGACAACATGGTGGCCTCTGAATGTAGTATGGACACTCCATGATTTAGCTCAATGCAATTTAGAACTCTTGAACTCAAGATGCCAGCCTCAGCCTCCATAGTAGCAGGGATTATAGGTGTACACCACCAGTCCTAGCTGTCCTTTATTTTAAAACTTATTTAATTTATTTCTTAAGTGTAGACTGTGATTTTTTGAAGTTTTTAGGTAGTATTTTCCTTCATATCTTTAAATATTATTTCAAGAAAACCTATGTCAACTAGACTAGAACCGGTCTCTAACCTGTGGGTGGCCAGAGCTGAACAAAGCAGGCTAGAGACAGGAGAGTCAGGAATGAAACAAAAGTTTAATTTCAAAGTGGGGAAAAACAGGTTTGCAAACTGAAGTCCTCCTGAAAAGGAGGGCTTGTGGCTTGTGGCAGGGGTAGGGTTTTTAAGTATGAAAACCACAAAAAGGTGGGACCCAACACAGTCACTCTTAGGTCTTGAGTAAACAGTTCCCATGACAGGCCATGCATGCAGGCATTTTTAGGGCAATACAGGTGTTCTTGGGTCCTGTGGGAACAGTCCCCAAGTTGATTGTCTCAGGTCTTAAAGGTTGTTGATCTTTGCAGTCATTCAGTGGAGTACAAAACCAGAGTTAGCATGGTGGGAACAGGAGTGTAGTACCTGGTTTGGTTCATTTAGGCATTAACAAGCGCAGGAATTGTTCATAGTGTTAGAAGATGTGATTGATCACTTTCTGCTGCAGCACTTCAACTGTAGCTTCAGCTGTCAGGCCAGAATCTCCTGGGAAATAGGGGAGCTCCAACAAATATATCTTTTTCTTTTTTCTTTTAAGGCAGTTGGGGTTAAGTGACTTGCTCAGGGTCACACAGCTAGTAAGTGTCAAGTGTTTGTTCTGAGTCTGGATTTGAACTCAGGTCCTCCTGACTTCAGGGCCATTGCTCTGTCCCCTGTGCTCAACAAATCTCAGTAGTTATTGATTAGTATGAAAATCTTAAACCCCTCAGTGAACACCTGGTGCTGGTCAAAACAGAGTTTTGCCAGAGTTAGATCATCCAGATGGTGAGTGCAAAGGATTGTTGTTATGCCAAGCCTGAGACAGCTTGCTTGTTGGGCCTTTTTAGCTCTGGAAAACAGAGTGTTTCCTAATGTCTTGACACCTGTAACTCAAGTTGTGATGTTGCTAACTACATTGGTTCCCATCAGCATCAATAGTGTGGTCAGGATAAATTCATAATAATAGGTCACATTTTTGAGCTTGGTTGTTTGAGAATTTTTTAGTGTTAATGGTACATTGGTAATTTTATTTTGTTTGTTAGGAAAATGCTAATCATATGTCCATTAGCACTGGAATTGTAACAGAACATACTTTCTTCCTCATTTTTTTTTTTAGGAGAATCATCCAATTGTAGCTATGCGGAATTTTGTATACCTAAGAAATTTTATGCTATGGTAAAATGCTGTGAACTCTCTCCTGCCCAGTGAAGTTTATCCTCTTTCAAAGGAATTATCAGGCCTGGTGTAAAGAATTGTGGAGCTTTTACTCATTAATTTCTCTCTGAACGTTCTTGTCCTAGATGAGAAGATAAACCATAGTCATATGGTAGTTCGGGGATTCTGTAGAACTCTAGAGCTTGTTTGTTAGCAAAGGGGAATAATTACTACTCACTGGCATACTGAGTAGTGCACTATTAGGTATTTAACTCTCGTTGTTGGGGCAGTCATTCTTATTATGTGGTCCTTTGTATCATGTATAAAGATTAGGCTGTCTCATTTTAGATGTCATTACTCTTGAGATACATTTAAGGTAGAGCTTAGCTTAAGCACCATTATAACACCTCATTTGATACCATCATTTTTATGTTTCAGTTTATAGTTTAAGTGAACACTGTACACATATGTACTAAGAATTCTATTAAATGAGAAATCTGGGCAACTCTGGCCATTTCTTAATTAAACATAGCAAAGATAACCTGTTTGAACTTTATATGTACAAAAACATAGTGCGGTATAGTGACTAGGGTATCAGCCTCATGGTCAGGAAGACCAGAATTCAGGTTCTTCTTACACGTACTGTCAGTGTGACCCTTAATCTTTCAGTGCCCTAGGCAACTCTCAGAAGATGTAAATTGCAGAGAAGATACTGACCTGCACTGGTACAGGGAGTTTCCTCACCCATACTAATGAAATCACGGTTCCAGACCCTATCCCTCTTTCATATAGTTGTCTTTAAACATTTACACATAATATAATTTTAATATAATTTTATGGTTTTGAGAATGTGTTGGTGATTATTATTATTATTTTGTAGGGGGAGGGGGGGAGAGAATATAAGAATACCTGAAAACCAAGCTTAAGAGATTATATGACAGGTTGTATTTCATTGATTGGTATTGTGCTGACACTGTAGTCCATCACTTCTACCTGAAGATAAAAGTCAGCAGCAGCCTCAGCTTTCTGGATTGTTAATGGAGTTAGATGATCCAGTAGTTGAAGTTGCTTTCCCCAAATAACATAGCTTCTGCTATTGGAGAAGGAAGAACCAGGCAGAGCTTACCTTGGCTTTTTTATTTTGTATTGCTTAACTTTTGCTGTACTGGCCTGTCTTTTGTGATTGATATGACACTTAGTTTTAAAAAATAGGGCATTGAAGTACTAGGGAAATTAGAAGTAAATGTAGTTCTTTGCTTAATGTATTTAAATTTAGGTTAGTGGCTGTTATTTGGTTCCACTGGATTTGGGGGAACTCAGTAGATGTTTTAAAATGAGTCAGTCATATTTGTACTGTGTTTTTTTAAATTAAAATTTAATTAGTGTCATTTCATAAATCAATTGTTTCTTAAACTTTAGTACATATTAAAAGATTGATGAGAAAATAGAAAATTTCTTTTTGTTCTAACCTTTTATAGAATGACAGGGTTTTTTAAAATTATTTAGGAATAAAGTTAAGTTATATGGTTAGATACTATAATTCTAAGATGTGATGAATGTTAGGTAACAGTTGTTTGAATAATAAAATAATAAAATTTGAGTAGTCTAGATAAATGTTACATTGTAGATTATTTTCTAAGTGAATGCCAACTTGTAGAATATAATTTGTAGAGATCAGAATTTCTTAATATTATTTATGTGATGGTAAAATAATTGTAAATGTAAATGCATTTTGTATGGGAAGCTATTTAGGTTATCTTTAAAGCGAAATACTTGTATTAAAATATACAACATAGTGTAAGATTTTCAATTCCAAAGTTGTTTATTTTTAAGTAATTACTTTTGGATACTTCTTTTAGGTTGCTAGAGTGCTTTTTTTTTTTTTAAATTTCCTAGAGCATTGTGGGCATAGCTTAGTACCTGGGAATATGTGGCTTTTTGGTAATGTTCAAGTCCTTGATATTTTCATTTAAAAAAAATAACCTTAGGTTAATGTAAATTGAAGAAGATTATGTTTACAGAGATCCATTTTATAGTCCTTGAATTTTTATGACTTTTTCATATTTGGTCTGAATGATTAAATCACTGTAATAATTGGATATTGGGCATTGTGAATACCAGATATTAGTTTGTATATAGGACTTTAAAATTTAAATAACTAAGATTTTTTCACAGAGCTTCATGAATTTAAATTTATTGACCTAACGGCTGTTTAGCAGTAAGTAAGATTTAGGGTTACATAGTTTAATTTGTGAGCTAAGAAAACTGAAAATTGTTTATTGATTTTTTTTCTTTTAGAAAATGGAAGTGTAGTACAAATTGGGGAATTGTTACCATGCAAGATCTGTGGAAGAACCTTCTTTCCGGTTGCCTTAGTGAGTAGATTGATTATTTGCCTATTTGCATATGCATTTATTAGGCCAGCAATGTATTGGAATCCACATTGGTAGAGGGAATGTCTGTGTTGACGAAATCATGGATTCATTGAAGTACTGTACCAGCTTTATATGAAACCACTTCCGTAGTGTAATTGGATGGGATGCTAGAAAGGACGATTTATACCAGTTTTACCTCATTTGTTCGATCTTCTCTTTGAGCTTCATACCTTTTGTATTTTGAATAATCTTCAGGAGTTCCCTATTAAAGTGAAAATGCTAAGTGATTAATAAATATCTAATAAAGCAGTGAATAAATTAGTTGACAGCTAGTAGAGATCAAGATTCTATAAGAGTGAAAGGCATCATAGAATTCTAGGGGAAGAAGAACGGAGTGAGCAGGGTAGATAGCATCAGGGAGGAGAAAGGGGAGGACCTTTCAGGAAGGAGAGAATATATAAACAATAAATTTCACCTATTTCACAATGAAAAAGTTTTGAGAAAGTATTGCTAGCACTGATTAATTTCATTTCCATTGAAACCCCTTTGCTGCTGTCTTTATCCTTTGTAGTTACAAAAATAAGTGTGCTCTTTCAGTCTTAACCTTGAAAAGTGGTTTTATTATTCTGTCCATCTTTACAAGTGAAAACGAAGGTCTATAGTATTAAATTACTCCATTTAAGAGTTTGAAGTAAGTGTTATCTGGTAGGCACTGTTTTAGGAGGCAGTCATTCAGCAAGGTATCCTATTTAGCATATTAAGTGGTTTCCAAAGTGCAATGAATTTTGGTGAAACTACTTTTAAAAATATACTTTCTTTTTTTATATAATTTTTCTTTTTTAAAAAATTTTATTTATTTTGATTTATCAATAATCATTTCAACATGCTTTTGAGTTTAAAATTTTTCTCCCCCTTCATCCCCACCACCCTCCCCAAGATGGCGCACATTCTGAAGTAAACTATACATTTACATTCCTATTAAGCATATTTTCACATTAGTGGTGTAAGTAAAAATTAAAAAAAAATACATTTTTAGACATGGAAGGAAGCAGGGGAAACATAAAACAAAGATCTACCAGATCTTTATCTACCAGAAAACCATAATTGTGATGCTAGAGGTAATTTTCATTTAATTTTGTACAATTCTTTTCAAGGTTCTCATTCTAGTCCTAGAAGTTAAGTGTTATAATAAAGATAACTAGAATATCAGTAGAATCCTCATTGAAAATGGGGTTGGTGGTAGTCTGTTTTTAACTGTAGTAAATTACTAAAATCAAGGCATAGGAAGTGGAGTTGAGTATGGCTCTCATAATGTTCCAGTGCAGCTAGCCACCCCATTAAAATTGTGTTGAATCTTATCCTTTTGCTGCCTTACTTTCTTGAAGCCAAGAAGAAGAAGAAGGTAAATTGAGTCATGCATCTAGACAGTTGACATTCAAGTTGAACTAGGGATGTTTTGCCAAAACAGAGCAACAACCACAACAACAAAAAACTCAAGAGAAACATAATCACTTACTGTCTTAAAATATTTCAGACATTCTTATTTGAAAGAAGGGCAACTTGATTTAATGGAAAGGACACCGAATTTGAAGTCAGACTGGGTTCATATGCTCTTATTTGCTGCCTGTTAAATTTGTGACTTTGGAATATTCAGGGCATTAAAATAGCTGATATCTTAAGTTCTTCAAATCATATGATCCTTTGGCTTATTTGTTTGATCCTAGAGAGGAGATCTAATGGTTAGAAATTAGGTTGAGACAGGTTTTAGTTTCACATCACAATTTCTTAACAATGAGAATTATCTAAGCATGTGGACTTTCTTATGAGATATTATTCACTTCACTATTCTTGTGAGAAGCTACCTGGCCACTTTTCAGTGATGATGTAGTATATATTCATGCTACAGGTCAAACTCTTATTCTGAGATTCTCTAATACTGAAAAGGTTCTGAAGCTCTTCAGTGTCTCAATTCATTATGGCCAAATTACCATGCTAGACCTTTGATAGCCTTTCGTGACTATAATGACCTGAGTTGGCTAAAAACAGATGTGCACTTTTTCTTTTTGCAGGTCTCACTGAGAATGTAATAATTACTTTATTCCAACTTCCTTTTCATTCACTGAGTTTCTTTCAAAGGGTAGGATAAGAACTAGAGCAAAAAGAACTGCAATGGAAGGCGTTAAAGCAGTTTATAATAGCAACAGCAGTGGGATTAGTGTAAGGACAAATACAAATTGCAAAAAAATGCTGATGTGATCTGTGGGAACTCGATATGTTAAAGACAGGAAATTGAATGAGAAAAATACAATGTATGTGTTTGATATTAGTAGTAATAATAATGATTTAATATGGAGTTTCAGTATGTATTAAAACATAAGTATGTGTTATCATTGCTCACTACTGGCTTTCAGATTTTAACATAAACTATGTTTTCATAGTTGCTATAAATACATTGTCTTTGAGATTTTTTCTTTAAAATAGCTTAGATAAAAACTCAAGAGCTTATATTATTCCTTATTGAAAAGAAAATGATGCACTGTGTTTTATCTTTCCTCTAACAGAAAAAGCATGGGCCAATTTGTCAGAAAACTGCCACTAAAAAACGGAAGGCCTTTGATTCAAGCAGGCAAAGGGCTGAAGGAACTGATATTCCAACAGTAAAGCCACTTAAACCTCGGGTAAATATATAAAGTTTGGAATAATACCTAAAGAGAAAGAGTGTATACTCCAAAGTATGTACTGATCATGTAAATGCTTATATCAACATCCATAGAATTTCTAAATCCAGTGTGTGGTGAGTGGTTTTTAATGGAAAGCCACATCTTAGACTTGTCCTCAAAAGTAGTACCTTATTGCTCTGGCTTGGGAAGAAGTGAAATTTCCTTAAAAAGTCTTTAATTTTTCTAGTGTAGTTAAATCCATCATCATCTAGAGAAGAATTAAATGGCATGGACTATACCTTTTGAGAATGAAACTGTCTTTTTTTCTGGGATATGAAGAATATATTTAAAAATTATACCAGACATTTCGAGTTAAGATTGCAGAGTGAATAAGAGCAGAATAACTCAATTCCCATATGTACATCATAAAAGATACATGAAGAGTTGTCAGGCCAAATAATAATTAAGAAAAAAAGAAAGATGCTATAGTCAGTACATTCATCCAGCTTAAGCTGGCAAAAGGGCACATCCAGGCATTAAAGATGAGGCCCAGCAAGAGGAGCTGGGTTGAGACTAGTGCAGATAAAGTACATGGAAGCTTTCTGGCTTCCAGAAGCAGTGCTCAACCTGGAAGCCTCTGCAGGATCAAATATGTCCCAGACCCAGAGATCAGAAGGAAGGTTTGGAGTGCCTCTATGAGGAGGACCCAGGGTAGTTTAGCCAGCAAAGTTGCTATTAAATGGGCAGCAATAAGTTTATGTACTCAAGAGGCTTGGAAAGTTTGTGGCAAGCTGATGTGAGGCCATTCCTGATAACCTTCAAGAGGTAAGCAGTTTGTACCCAGATGATACCAGCAAACATGAGGCCTACCAGTACTTTGTGCACAGCAAATACCAGCAGAAGGGAAGGGCCAGTGGCAGGACCCCAGACAGTACTGATTGAGAGCAAATGAGCTTACTGCCCTATCCAGATATGCAGAGGAAATCATGAAAAATAAGTCCTAATTCAGGAAGTAAAGCTGGAAATATGAATAAAGAAAATACTGATGATAAAGGTTTTCTGGATATGAGAAAGTTCAGAAAACAAGTCTAGAAGAAGAGAGAAACTCAGTAGTTTCTGTGGACAGAGTCTGGAGGAAGGAATGTTATGGCCAGAAGGTCTATTAGAATTCTTCAAAGAGATTTTTTAAAAGGATATTTAAATGAAATGAGACAATAAAGGAAAGAATTGAAAGGAGAATAAATAGATTAGTACATGAGTTAGAAAATCTTAACCAAATAATAGACACCTCAGAACTTAAAATGAACCACACAAATCAATGACTCCATCAGGCAACAGGAAATATGACAGTGAAATCAAAGAAAATGTGGGGCAGATCCTTTCAAAAATAGACTGACAGAATAGATGAAAGTAAAAATAATCTAAGAAATATTGTCTTGAAAAATAATAACAAAAAAAGCGTAGTCACCATATTTTAATAAATCAGAATGAAAATGGCTAAGACTTATTAGAACCAGATAGCAAAGTAAAAATAAAAATAATCCACTTATCACCTCTTGAAAGAAATCCTAAAATAAAAATTCCAAGCACCTTTAGACCAAAATCCAGAGCTTCTAGGGTTAAGGACAAAATTACCATAAGAGACCGGAAGGAAAGAACTCAAACACTAGGGTTAAGGACAAAATTACCATAAGAGACCGGAAGGAAAGAACTCAAACACCAAAGAATCACAATTGGGATCACATAACTTGACAGATACCACTATAATGAAACTTGGAACGCAATATTACAAAAAGCTTACAACCAAAAATTATATCAGAAAAACTGAGAATGGTCCTAGAAGGTCATATGTTACAATTTTTTTTTTGGTGAGGCAATCAGGGTTAAGTGACTTGCCCAGGGTCACACAGCTAGTGAGTATCATGTGTCTGAGGGTAGATTTGAACTCAGGTCCTACTGACTCCAGGGCCAGTGCTCTATCCACTGCGCCATCTAGCTGCCCCTGTATTACCTTTTAATAGATGGAGAAGAAACGAGTGTCCCACCGGAACCGTTTTCACTTCAAGAATCATAGAAAGAGTAAATAATACAAACAAAGCTTGGGGTTGAATTTGTTCTGTTTCAATGGTCTTAATTTAAGGTTAAAAAAAAAAAGAAAAAGAAAAGAGAGGATAAAAGAAATACATGGGTAAGAGGGGAGTGGGAAGGAGATGTGGAACTTAATATTTCAAGTAATTGGAGTACTCCAGAAAAACTCTATAAACGTGGAAGAAACGATGGGAGAAGTGAGCATCACGTGAAGTTTACTTGTATCAGAATTTGACAGAGGAGGGTTGAAAACACCTACAAAAAGTTTGGTCTAGCAAAATGACATTCAGTTGGGAAACAGGTGAGAATAGGGAGAGAGGGGATTGGGTGCTTCTATTCAGTTGTTTCTGATTCTTTGTGATTTCATGGACCATAGTACACCAATGCTGTCCATGGGGTTTTCTTGATACAGATACTGCAGTGGCTTGCCATTTTCTTCTCCAGTAGATTAAGGCAAACAGAGGTTAAGTGATTTATCCAGAGCTGTACAACTAGTAAGTGTCTGAAACTGGATTTGAACTCAGGTCTTCCTGACTTCAGGCTCACTGTACTCAGTGTATACTGAACCACCTAGCTGCCTCAGTTGCTTAAGTGGGAGGAATTAGTCACAAGTGAAACAAAGTCCACCTTTGGATGATAGATTGTGAAGTGAGGATTAAAGGCAAAGAGATGGCAAAATCCTATGATTGATGTCCACTCAAGTAAAAGAGAAGAGGGGCAAGTGGAGTAGAAGGATATTGCTTATTAATGTCAAGAACATTCTAACTACCTTTTTTGTAAACAGTGGGGTGAGAGATGAGATGTGGAGAGGTAAAAGTTAAGGTAAGGTAAAATAGAAGGACATAAAACAATTTTAAATCATCACTTGTGGATGTCAGTGGTATGAACTCACTTATAAAATCATAAAGGATAGACGGCTCATAGAAAGTAGAATCTAATAACAATGATGTTTACTGGAAACATTTCAAGGATGTTCATAAAGAATTAAAAGGCTGGAGCAGCACTTACTGTGCTTCAAATAAAGTAAAAAATCAGAAGTAGTAATCATCTCAGAGAAGGCACAATAAAAATATTCATGATTAAAAGGAAGGGATAAACAAGGAAAGCATTTAAAGGAACTATAAACACCAAATTATTATCAGTTCTTAATAGATATCCATTGAATGAAAGCATCTAAATACCTAAAGGAAAAGTTAATCTATAAAGAGCAATATTTACTAAAGCTTATAATAGTTGGGGACCTCCGTGTACTCTTCCAGCCGTAGACATATCTAACAAAATGATAAACAAGAAAGAAGTAACAGACTTGAGTAGACCTTTAGAAAAGTTACATAGGGTAGAGCTCTGATATCTGAATGGGATTAGAATGAAGTATACATATTTCTTAGCTGTGTATGATAACTTTATAAAAATTAATCATATAGTATGGTATTAAAAATCTCACCAAGATGCAGGAAAGTAGAAATATTAAGTACATTCTTTAATGATCACAACCCAGTAAACATATTAAAGAGTCATATTAAATAAAGGATCTTTAGGAAAAGGATTACAATTGATCTGATACTAAATAATTTAATATTATAAAATTGGTGATTCAAAGAAGAAATTATAGAAGCAACAGATATTTTCAGTGAAATAACAGTAACAAGATAACATAGCAAAATTTTTGAGATGAAGCCAAACCAAGCCTTTTTGGAAAATTTATTTTTAAATATTTTTATCATCCTAAAAGGCAAAGAAAAGATCAACAGATTAGACATAAACCAAAAAACAAAACAAAACTGGAAAAGCAATACCAACTAAACACCTATATAGAAATTTTGAAAATCAAAAAAGAAATGGACAAAAATGAAAGCTAAAGTACCATTGATTTGATAAATAAAAGGATTTTGATGAAAAATATCAATACATGAGTAATTAATATTTTTGAAAAGAAAACCAAATTGTTAGAGTCAAAAATTAAAAGTAATTCACAACAAATGAAGATTGAAGAATATTCTCGATAATGATTTATGGCAACAAAATGGATAACTTAGATGAAACGGACGATGAGTATTTACAAAATAAAAATACCCAGATAACAAATTAGGAAGTAGAAAATTTAAATAATCCAATTTCAGAAGTAAGAAATCTAAGAAACTACAAATGAACTCTTGAAGAAAATCCCAAGACCAGAGGGACTTATTGATGAATTCTATCAAACATGCAAAGAGCAGTTAATCCCTAGGAATAAATAAACTATGCAAAAATGAAATTTTTTGATTTTTACGGCCCTCTAAACAGATAGATTATTGTACTGACAATGAAAAGCTTAGTTCGGTAATGCATAATCGTTTGTCTAACTGCTATATCTAGAATTTTTAGCACTAGATTGAATACGAATAGTGATAAGACCTATCCTTTATTTGTCCGTGTTCTTAATTGGAAAGGCTTCTGAAACAGGGCAGCTTAACCTTTTTTTGTGTGTCATGGATCCCTTTGGCAGTCTGGCAAAGTCTATAGACCTTGCTTTCAGAATATTTTTAAATGCATAAAATAAAATATATAAAATTACAAAGGATATAAATTATTTTGAAATACATTTATCAAAGTATTTTAAAAATCAAGTTTATGATCCTCAGATTAAGAAGAAACCTAGCTCTAGAATTTCTCACAAATAATTCTGGACCTCGGTTTTAGATAGTTACTTTTAATCATATTAAGGAAAAATGTGATTATTCCTATGCATTTTAGCCTTTTTAATAGAAATCTATGTTTTGTCAAAAAATTTTCACCAACTTAACAATTATATTATTTTTACTATTAGTAATATGGCTAATTATGTTTGTATTTATTATATTAAACCAACTAAACATTCTTGGTGTAAATCCAATTTGGTCTATTATATAATCTTTTAAATATACTGTTAAAGCCTCTGCATTAATATGTTAACTATTTTTTTGCATTAGTATTCAATAAGGATATTATTACATAGTAATTTTCTCTGCTTTGTTTTTCCTTGCTTTGAATATCAAGATATCAGGATTATATTTGTATTATAGAAGGATCTCTGCGCCACCTAGCTGCCCCTGTTTAAATCAATACTTCACATTATAGATCAAGATAAACTTAAATGAGTACATGATTTAGATATAAAAGGGCACATTAGTTAGAGCAGCATATAAGGAAATACTTTTTGTTCCTAGGGGTTAAAGCTAGAGAGCATGTCCAGACACGAGAGCATCACAAAGATAAAATGTACGGTTTTGATTGCTTAAAATTGACAGTTTTTTGCACAAACAAAATTAATGCAGTAAAAATCAGAAGGAACAGTTAACTGGTGAAAAATCTTTGCTGGAAATTTCTCTATAAAAAGAACAGTATTTCATAAATATTACCCAATATAGTCAAAGGATATGAAAGTGTCAAGAGCCTTATGGAAAAAAATTATCCAAATCACTAATAATTAGAGAAGTACTCACTTCCACTATATAGGCAAAGATAATTAAAAAGAAAACTGACAAATTATTGGAGGAGCTGTAGGATGTCATTTACACTTTTTCAATTTTGGTGGAGCTGTGCAGTGGTCCACCCTTTCAGGAAAGTAATTTGAAATTCGAATCCAAAAGTCCCTAAATTGTACATGTCTTCTTACCCTGTTGTTCCACTGTGGGGCTTATATCCAAAGAGATCACAGAAAGAGGGAAAAAATACCTATGTGTAAAAAAATTATTTAAATCAACTTTATTTGTTGTAGCAAAGAACTAGAAATTAAGGGTATGTCCATTAATTGGGGAATGGCTAAACAAATTTTGTTATGTGAATGTGATGGAATACTGTTGTGCCTTAAAAAATAATAAAAAGAATGGTTTCAGGCAAATATGAGAAGAGTTGTATAGACTTATGCAGAATGAAGTGAACAGAATCATAACTAGAGTAAAGAAAAAACAATGTTGTAAGACTTCAGAAATCTGATCAATGCAATGACCAACCAGTTCTCTAGAGGACAGATGATAAATTGCTTCCCATTTCCTGATAGAGATTTAATGATCTCAAATTGTAGAATGAGATGTATATTTTTGTATATGACTGTTGTGGATCTTGCTTGATCATGCATATTTGTTAGAAGTGTTTTGTTTTTCCTTTTTTTCTCTTCTAATTTGGAGAGGGACTAGTATTTCAGGATAGAATGGGGAACTAGCCGATAGTATTGTCCAGAAAAATAAAAGGGGTAATTGAAGAATTTAAGAATGCAAAGAAGCAAATAGAAGGAAATTCAGCAGGAAACACAGATGATGATGACAGCTTTTAATATGTTGAATTCATTACATACTTGAAAGGCAAGTCACAGTTTTATGTTTACACTTCATCTGTTCTATTTTGTATATGGAAAAGCTTCCTTTTTTTTGTTTTTTTCTAAGTTCAGAATAAAAACCAAATTTGTAGAAAACACATAAGTACTTTTTATAGAAAAATATTAAATTAAATCTTTTAAACCTGTGTTCTATCATGTAATCATTAGATGAGGGTGCTTTAGATCTAATTGGGCCTCTCCCTTCTGAAAGCATGAATCCTTTCTGCAACATTCTTGAAAAATGGTCATTTAACCTCTGGTTGAATACTTTTGGTGATAGAAAATTCATTTACCAACAAGGCACCTTATTCCATTTTGGGACTGTTCCAGTTGTTATAAAACTTTCTTACTTGAGCTGAAAGCTACCTCTTTTGTAACTTCCACTTAGTACTAGTATTGTCATACCAACTATAGCCAAGCAAAATAGTGGGTTTAAATGTCTTCAAGTTAAAAACTTAGGAATGGTTAACATCCATAAAGAACAAAAAAACTTAATAAAATGTATATGAGTTGATAAATCTTTTCCTGAACAGTATTTTTAATAAGTTTTTTATACGTTTTCTAAGCATGTTAATAATGTGGGAAAACAATCAGTTGGGGTAGGTGGGAGGTGGACAGAGGAGTAAATACACCAAGTTTCTATCATTATGTAGCTCAACTTTTTTTTTCTTCTAATATTTCCTGATCCAGAAGCAAATAAATTAAGAAACCATTAAGTGCACAGTCTTACTCATTTATTGTATCAGCATGCATTAGCCAGTTGCTGTAAAGTGTATAGAAATAATAAACCAACAGTTTCCCCTTTCAGATTAAATAGGTTTCTCAAAACCCATAGGTTGTAGTAAGGTAAAGCCTAACTGCTCGTGTACAGTTGTCCTCTTCAGCTGGGAAAGCAGAAGAAACCATTGAATGGTTGGTAAAGGCAGCATAATTAAATAGTGTGGAATGAACTTAGTGGCAAAATGTGCCTTGAATGAAAGGTTTGACTGCCTATACTTTAAAAAATATTTTATTGTTTGCAAAATTTTTCTTGAAATGGCCTGAACTTTTTCAAAGACCTTGCCTTTTAATTTGGGGAAAAAAAGAATGACAGCTATCTCTCTGTATATGCACACATATATGTATATTTATATACATATATGTGTATATATATTTATATATATTTTATATTTTTAATATACATATATTTATATACACATATATGTGTATACACACACAATATGTTAGATGTTGATGTTCCAGCCAAATGATACTAATTTTTTAAAACTTTCTCACCTCAGTGTCTTATTAGATAGATAAAATACAGTATTTGTGTATTATGTTCATTTATGAATGGAGGATTTGATAAAAAGTTACCGTAATATCAAATTCATATACAGGGTATCTCACAAATTGCAGTGGAGTTTTAAATTATTAGAATAAGCTTAAAACTCTACTGAGACTTTTGGGACACCCTCTATAATGCTCTACTTAAAAGTTTTTTTTTTCCTCCATAACCTAGGAAAACTTCAATTATACAATTTTGAAAGTAAAATGAAGTTACCACTCATTTTCATTTCATTGTGCAAAATTAGTTTTTTTTGTTATTCATTATTTTTTAAAAAAATTTCTTTCTAGCCAGAACCTCCAAAGAAACAGTCTAACTGGAGAAGAAAACATGAAGAATTCATTGCCACCATAAGGGCAGCTAAAGGACTTGATCAGGCACTTAAAGAGGGTGGCAAACTTCCACCACCACCTCCACCTTCTTATGATCCTGGTATATAATATCGATGAGACATATGTTAAAATGAGGGGGTTATTGAAAGATACTTATATACATGTCTTACTGCTATTACATTGTTAATATGGTAGTCATAGACTGATAGGTCATAATTTTTACTTCAAAGGAAACAGCCCAAGTTTATAGCATAGTTGTGATTCAGCATGTAAAAGGGGGAAAATATACAATTTTATAATTTCAGCTTTTGATTTTAACTTTTCATATAGTAAGAGTTCATTTTGAAATTGCTTTAAACTATTAAAGATAAGAACTTCAGATACTTTAGCTGTGGATTTAAAGGTGTTTTATCTAAAATGTGATTGATTACATATATACATGCCCCATTGTTTCAGTACTTCCTAATACAGAAAAGGTATATTTCATGTTAATTTTACTTATAAAGTTAAAAACATCAGAGAAAAAAAATCCATTTGTGATGAGAATTTATTAGTGTAATACTTTAATTTAAAAGTGTTAATAGCCCACATTTTGTTTATCTTCCACAATGAAACAGATGTGTAGCTGGTGTTTTTTAATCAAATTTCAGTCTATATAATCTGACAGAAACTACATGCTAAGTGTTGCGATGCTTTAAGTATATAAAAATGTCATGAAAGTGAGGTTTTTCTTTTGTTTACTCGAGCAGGCATCTTGACACAGCAAGTTTGCCATTGAAGTTTTGACTCGTGTACATAGTGGTTTACCTTTTAGCATGGTTCTTTCTAATAGTTTCTCTTTCAGAGAGTCTAGATTGTCTAAAGAGTTTTGCCAGTAGAATCAAGTGACTCAGTAATTCTCTGAAATTTATTATGTGTTCGAGCTAGTTACGTGTTGTGTGCAAGCAGGGGTATGGATATGTCCAAATTGCCCAGGAATCTTGAGCAGGATTTCAGGGTTCCATTAGGGATTAAGTTAAAAATTCCATTAGGGTTAAGTTAAAAAGTGAAATTACCATAGAGGTCCACCTAGGAGGAAAACAGGGGCAAAGTCCAGGAATTGTCACTAGAGAATTCAATCTAGGGTTCAAAGGCACAGAGAAACCAGATTCCAGATTTAGAAGCATGCATATCCAGTACGTGGCACTTGTTCACTTAATGAATAGTGGTGTCATTTCTTGTGTATGTATGCCACTTAAATCTACTATGACTCGAAGATATAAATATTCTATAGTAGTGGCCACTCTGGAGGTCTAGGCATATTCCCCTTGCTTGTAGTGTTCTTATACCCAGAGTGTCAGGATTGATAAGAAATACCGTACTGGCAGAAGAAGTGGTTAGGTTTGGTGGGAAGTGGGGTTGAGGTTCTTGATTGATTTACATTTATATTTGAGCCACAAGCCTCCTAATCCACCAGGTACTACATTTACCCTGCTTTTGGGAATTAAACTGCAAACTTTTCTTTATCACCTATTACTGGTAGATCTGTTTTCAGAACTGGGGAAATATTGCCACTAGTGCCTTTTGGGCCCATGACTACTGAAAGACTGGGTTTATAATCTTCTTGGGGTCAGGAAGCTTCAGTTAAAAAAGGCTATGAGGTTCACTACTTATGCTATTAGAAAGGGTTTATTTCTTTTCACTTTCCAGTAGTGTTATCTGTTGTCAAGGTTGATAACCACACCTCATCTCTGACCTACAAGAGTTTGCGGAGAGTTGGTGATTGTGGTCGGTATGCCAGAAAGGTATATGACATGGAAAGAGAGTACTGGATGTGGAGCTAGGATACAGTGGGCTCTGAATTCCACCTCTGAAAATAGGTTTGTTATCTTGGGAATTCACTTAAGGTCTTTGAACCTCAGTTTCGGTGGTTACCTCACTAGAATGTTGTGGAGCTCACAGCAGATAATGCATATTTTTCCAACTCTTAATATGCTATATAAATGTTAGCTATTATTATGATTTAGGCTTAGTAGTCATCTAGTTTCTTCACGTACTGTTTGGCTACAGGGACAGAGGTATGAAGCACTATAGGTGCTAAGAATTAAGGAGGGACTCTGTAGTTTGAGATACATGTTTTTGGAAGGAAGCATGCATTTAATTATCAAAATACAGTCAACAGTAGAAAAGGTGGACCTCATATCTTTGATGGTAGGCAATCTGGTGTTATAAAATTGGTTTATTCAGTCTGACTTTCAGCTTGAGACAGCAATAGTTTGACTTGTTAGGGACAGGTAGGAGAGTGAGGAGAACGGGTTGTTCAGAAGTTTGAAATGAGTAGTGGACTTTTCAGAAATAAAGTGAGTGGAAGGTATGAAATTGAAATCTTTCCAAGATGAACAAGCATGCTGTCACTGTGATAGTTGTGGGTGTCTGAGGGGGCAGGGAAGTTAGGTAGAAGATGCACCATTTTTGTTAGTATCCACCAAGTCTGTGATGGTGACTGGACCTTAACAGGGTTATGAAACAGCCCCAGGCCACTTAAGATCAGAATAGCTTTACTGTATTAAGGTTGTCATAGCCCAAGGGTGGGAAACCCTGTGGCCTTGAGGCCACATGTCAGAATGTGAGACAAATAGAGAAAAAGTATACTTCCTTACTTATCAATACCATAGTAGTGTGAGGATTCGTATTCATCTCTTCCATTTATTCCTCTGTATTCCACTTTGGGAAAGGCTAGAATTCAGCAGCTGTCTGATCCAAGGTCTTCCTTAATGGGGACAGACATGGCTTATCTTCTGGCTTGTCAGCTAAAAAAATAAAATATGAAGAAGCTGGCAATTTATAATTTAGCAGATTTTCCTGCTCACCTTTAGTATCTTATTTATAGTGTGTGTATTGGGAATGCATAATATATATGTATACATGTCACATATAATATATGTATAATTGCTGTAATTTAAGACTCATTTCACATACAGTTAATCTGTTTTTGTATTTATATCTCTTTTAGATTACATTCAGTGTCCGTATTGCCAGAGGAGATTCAATGAAAATGCAGCCGACAGACATATTAATTTCTGTAAGGAACAAGCTGCTCGTATTAGTAACAAAGGCAAATTTTCTACTGATACTAAAGGAAAATCAACTTCTCGAGCACAGGTAAAATGATATGGAATAAACCAGGGATGGGGAATCTGCATCCTCAAGGCCACATGTGGCACTCTGGATCCTCAAGTGCAGCCCTTTGATTGAATCCAAACTTCATAGAACAAATCCTTTTATTAAGGGGATTTGTTGGTTTAACCATTAAACCATTTCTGGGGACAGATGGGAAAGACTGCATAGAGTTCAAAGTAGTAAGCGTATGTTCCTGAGGGCATTTACATACAGTTTACTTGCTGTTTAGAAATTAGATTAAATAATTTAAGAAGATTGGTATTGTAAGTTAGGAGAAATAGCACTTGGCCTGGGATTTCATGATCTTTAAGGATCCTTCCAACTCTAAAAGTCTGATTCTAAGTATATTTAAAGTGATAGTTTTGAGGAGGCATAAGGAAAAAAAATGATTAAGAAGAGAAACAGATTTAGAAGAAAAACAAAGTGAAATGTTCACAGAAGAATTTCGGAGTTGAAAGGGCCCATAGTAGAGTAAGTGAGTAGCTCAAAAAACCTCTTACTGCAACACATCCAACAAGGAGGTGCTTATTCTCTCTTGAGCAGACCATTGTACTTGGAGGTAGTTCTTGACAGCAAACCTGAATTTGTCTCTTTTCAGCTTCCACTCATTACTCCTAGTTTAGTCCTGTGGGGTCAAATAATATATCTAATCTCTCTTCTACACTATCAAGTGTTTTCTGAGCCTTATTGTTGGCAGGCTCCAGGCTTTCTAATGGTCTTTTACATTTCTGGTTGCTCCCCTCTGGAAGATCTTTGGCTTATCTGTCTTCTTTTTAAAATGTGATACCCAGATGTGTAATTGTTACTTCTTTGCACGTTTAATCCCTTTACAACTTTATTCCCTATGTTCAGCTTTTAAATTGACAGCATGCCCAGCTTCTTTTTTCCTTCTTTGAACCACTTAATAGTCACACCCAACTTCTTTTCCCTTCTCTTCCTTGCCTTGCCAATTTTCTTTACTTACCTTTTCTTTTTTACTTGGGTGACAACTTGGTACAATGGAAGGAGTACTGACTGAAGAACCTTGTTCAAACCTTACCTCTGAAACTTACTACCTATGTGACCTTGGGCAAATTAACCTTCTTGACCTCATTTGCCTCATCTGTAAAATAAGCAGTTTGGACTGGATGGCCTGGGAGGACCTTTATATCCCTAGAGCTATGATCCTGTGGTCTTACGATCCTTTACCTACATATTCTGCTTTACCTTAACAGAGAATATGCTCTTGATCTTGCTTTTGTTCTATGAGAGTGGTGAAATGGTGGGAGAGACTTTGGATAGCCCTAATAATTCATTCAGAAACAGTGTTTTGCAGTTGAAAGAGCACTGGATTTGGAGTCAGAAGACCTGGATATGAATCCTGGCTCATTGTCACTAAATGGAGCATGTCACATGGTCTCTCAGGGCCTCAGTTTCCTGATATGTTAACATGAGGCTGTTGGGCTATATGCCCTTTAAGGTCTTCTCCCACTTTAGATCCTTTCATCCTCTGAGAAGACTGCAATAAAATAATCACAGAAAATTCATGTAAATATTAAATTTTAGGGCATATCTATATTATATTGTATGTAAAATCTGTTTAAATTTGCTGCCTATGATAGTTTTAAATTAAATATTGTTTTTTACTGAAAACGCTTTTCCCAAAGACACATTCATTGGTGTTGGAAATTATTCAAGCAAATTTCAGTGTTAAAAATATACATCCAAATATCTTGAGAATATTTGAATGTGCTTTCAGTTGAAGTAGCAAAAAATAATGGGGTCTATTTCTGTCAGTATTTGTGCACAAAGTCCTTTTGGGAGAAGATTTATAAGCTTGCTTATAGTAGAATACATTTTATAACCTGAACATTGCTGAAGTTGTTAATTATTCAATTAGTTTTTTATTTGATTCTTTAGGGTTCTCTAAATGTGCCGTCATATCAGTTGCAAAAAGTGATAGTTTTGTTTCCTCATTGTCTATTTTCATTCTTTCAATTTCTTTGTCTTATCTTATTGCTGTAGCTAGTGTTTCTAATACAGTATTGAACAGTGGTGATACGAACTCTTTTTAAAAAGGAAACCCATAGGGTGACATCACATTCTGTTCTACACCTTATGAATTAAGACAAATTTAGACCCTAAAATCAGCATATTTGGTCAAGGTTATTCATTTATCTGAGTTTGGGATTCTGAGATACATAATCTATGGAAACTTCATAGTTCCTTAATAAAAAGTCATCAAGATGGTTCATTGATACACTTTTGGGTAAGTGTTACTGCTTGCTTCTATTCTGTCTGTATTACTTGATACTTGGGTTCTGAAATACTTTACTACTCTTAAAAAAAATCACTGCGTATAAAATCTAACAGAATAACATGCTGTTAAAAGAGAACATTTTTTCCAAGAAAAATTTGTACCGATTATCCAAAAAGTTTCTAATTTATTTTATTTTCCTTATTTTAGTACAAGCCTCCTGCCCTTAAAAAGACAAATTCTCCAGGAACAATGCCTTCAGCATCCTCACGTTTACCACAGCCAAGCAGTGTTAGCAAGTCTGTTGTAGGTATGAAGTACCATAAATTTCACAGGTATTTTCTAAATATGTTGCCAGAATAAGAGATGAAGGTAGTGTGTGGGGGAAAATGTATTCAGAATACCAAACAACCAGCTTTACACAACTTTTGGAATGTGAGTTACTTATGAATATTTAAATGTTTGTACTACCAAATATTTAAAAATGGAGCCACTAGAGATTTTAAATGACATTTTATAGTCATACTGTCAATTATGGATTATCTTTGTGTGTGAATTATAGATACAGTGAAGCAAAATAAGCAAGACATGTTTTAAAAATTGCTGAGATTTGAAGAAAAATAGTGTATCTGTGACATTAAATAAAATATTATTCAGTAATGTTATTTTTCAGGTTTCCCAACTGCAGTTATTTTTGCCTCTTACTAATTGCTATATTTGACCTCTTGGCTAAGCTTAGAGCAAAGACTCAGGTTAAAAGATTTATAGGAAATTGGTACTCAGGAAGCTTGTAAAAAAATGAACTTTACTCTTGTGTGGTCCAGCAAACAGGCAGATAAACAAAGCATACACACCCTGTATGGTAGTACAGACAGATTTTGCTATACACAATCACACAACCAGAGTCACTCACCTGAGAGGAAGGGAGACGTCTATGTTGGCAAAGATCTTGGTGGGGAAGTGTGAAGGTTGCACATTCATAATTGAGTGTGAGCAGGGAAGTTTGATACCTTATAGATGAGCTTGGTTGAGAACAGATAATACCAGATCTGGGAGAAAGCATTCCTAGAGGTAGTATTCCTAATCAAAGTCAAATGTGATGGGGAATTCTCTGGGATATTTGGCAATACCAGACTCGAATGGGAGTTTCTTAATTGGGACTAGAAATTTGTTGAGGGTTTGAGTTGGTAATCAGGGACCCCAGGAATAGGTGTTGGTACCACAGCTGCTATAGTCAGCCCAGAGTCTTATCCAAACAGGAAGCATGATAGTTTATATGTTTGATACAGGGTCAGAATGAGTCAGGACAGTGGAAAGGGACAGTGTCTATTACATATTTATGGTCATTAGGGCTACTTAGCCTCAGTGACTCCATTGTAGAGCCCTATCATAATACTTTTTAGCTCTTACTACTGTTGTTATCAATGCCACCTTTTGTCCAGAACAACAAAAACCCAAATGTTTCCTGGTCTTTTGATTGTGATACCACCTGTATAGGTTTACTATACCTCAGAGCATAACTTTTGGTTACCTTGAAAGGCTTTTTTAACTGTCTTATATAGAAATATGATGATGCTTAATTATGTATTACAGTATTAGGTGTATGTGAGCACTTCTTTCTTTTTAATTGAATAAAGAAACCAGCAAAAATTGCCATGAGATTGTGGAATGGCTATTTTCTTGATTTCTGAGAATTTCTTGCAGTTTTTATTTTTCTCTATAATTTGCAGTTGTGCTTTATTCTTGCCTCAGAAATTATTACGACAGCAGTCTTTAAAGAGATGCAAAATAGTCTCTCATACAGTGCTAGTAAAGACTAATATTTGTTTTTTTTTTTTTGAAAGCTGCACCTTCAAGTAAAGGGTCTTCTGTCAGTAGCTCTTTGGGAAGCAAAGTTCACAACTTATCTCCATCTCATAAAGGGATAGCAGCTCCACATGCAGGGTAAGTTTATATTTGGATTAATTCAGTTCATTGCTGCTACATTCAAATTATTTTGTTCAAAATTTTGAGGTTAGATAGGATTTTAGTTTATAAGAATCCTTATTGGTGTTGGGTTTTAGATAAAATGGTGTGGATTAAAAATTTTGTTTTTCTTTCATTGTACTTTATTTTAGAAAAGTGAAGTTGACATAATGGAAAGTTCAGCCATAACTGTAGCTTAGGAAAGCTAATAGTTTTTTTGTTTGTTTTTACCATAAAAGGGTTTAGAACACTTTTAAATATGACCTGTTCTTGTGGCCTTTTTTACAGCTGAAAAATTAAGAGGTTGTTATATGGTGCTTTCAGATGAGTAGGCCTACCTATAACTTATACAAATGATGATGATGATGATGATGATAATGATGCTGTTTAAGATTTGCAAAGCCATTTACATACATTATCACATTTGAGCCAGACATTGCTTAAATTGATCAACATGAACATGTCAGCTAAATTTCTAAATTTTCTCAAAATATAAGTGACAAAAAGGGGGATTACCTTTTATACCCTACTTCAAGACACTTGTGGAGTTGATAGATCTAGAGAGGTGCCTTTTCTTCAAATGTAGAGCCTTACAATCTCCTATGCAGATGTAGTAAGTTAGCAAGTTATTGGTGTTGTGTGGACTGTGTCTGACCTTCCCTACCTTTGATTTTGTTGCATAATTAGACATTGACATGATTTTCTCATTAAGTAAATTAGTGCAGGTTTAGTTATAGATGAAATAGGGCTTTTCACACTATATTTCAGCTCTATTATAGATTTAATAAGCTTTTGTTAGGACAGTTAGGTAGCATAGTGGATAGAGAGTTGGGCCTGGAGTCAGAAAGGCCTGAGTTCAAATCTAGCCTCAGACACTTACTTGCTGTGTAACCTTCGGCAAGTCACTTAATTTCTGTTGGCCTCACTTTGCTCAGCTATAAAATGAGGATAACAGCAGTACCTATCTTCCAAGGTGGTTGTAAGGATCAATGAGATACTATTTGTAAAGTGCTTAGCACAATGCCTGACATATATTAGGTGCTATATAAATGTTAACTATTATTATTATTGTTAATTAAGACTTGTCTGAGAAGTAAGCCACCATTTATAACATTATTGGTGGTGGGGGAGGGAATACGTTCAGAATACCAAACAACCAGCTTTAAACAACGTTTGGAGCATGAGTTATATATGCATATTTATGAATATTTAATTATTTGTACTACCAAATATTTAAAAAATGGAGCCACTAGAGATTTTAAATGGCATTATATAGGCATACTGTCAATTACTGATTATCTCTACATGTAAGTTATACATATAGTGAGGTGAATGGAGTAAGATTCTCTGTTACCATACGCTGTAAGTTGGATGTGGGCCATAGTTATATACCTAGAATCAGAATTCCTTACTGATTTGGGTTCCCAGGTTGTCAACTGCTATTAGGAAAAAGACTACAAATCTGGTCTAAATAGTTTTCATACCAGAGCCATTGCCACAATTAACTATAGGAAACTATATTAACTATAGTTAACTATAGAAAATTTGGATATCCAGTTATATTTGTAACTTTCTATTTATAGAGATAAGTTACTAAAATCTAATATTATCTGGATAGTTACTGAACTAATTTTTCAGAAGACGTAGAAGACAGTGGCATATAAATATTTAAAGCCTGGTATATATAGAGTTTATTTTGTGGGCCAAACCTACTGTAAGTAATTTGATGTCTTTGGAGGATTACTGGAATACTTGGTCACTGACAAACTCATCTTTACACTTGGAGGATGTAAATTAGCTATAAATAGGTGTGTAGCATTGGTGTTTGAAGAATATGTGAAATGCAGTACAGTGAGGAACCCAGTGGAAAATATTTTTCTGATTCTAGAAAATGATTATCTCTAATTCTAGGGGATTGTTAAAGTAGGTTGAAATTAAGGTTCTAAAATAAACTGAACTTAACCATAGTTTTTAAGCAGAGAAATATTGCCGACATTTGAATTGTGTAATGTAGTTTGCATAGCTGTATCCTAAGCATCATGTTTCTTTTTTAAACAAAATGAATGATGTATCACTTAGTTTCTGCAACTGTAAGAAAGTCAAATATCAAAGATTAACTTCTAGTCATTTATTGTGGAAATTTGTCATTTAATTTACTTATGGTAACTTGTCATTTAATTTAGTTACTTATTCAACAAAAAGCTGGCATAAAACACTGCTTAAAAGAAGTAATTTTTTAAAAAATTCTCATTTATTTTTAGTATAATAAAAGAGAAACAAGTTTCTGTCAACTTTATTTATATTTTCTATAAATAGAAATACACATCATTACCCAGCTTCTGTGTATATGAGCCATGAATACAAACTTTTGTGGACCACTTTGGCTTCTTTGGTTAACCTGAAATTTGTAATCTCAAAGACCTTGGTGCTTAGCCATTTACCTGGAAGGTCAGGAATGGAGCTCTGTGTCCAGGGACTAACTTTTGGGCTTGAAAACTGCTGAGTTAGGGCCTAAGCAGCTGGTGAGCTGAGACCCAGAAGTGGAGATGACATACAAATCTATAAGGATTCAGAGAACCAGACTGAATATAGCTACACTAACTGTAGAGGGAAGGGAAAAGAAATATTTAAATAGTACTTTACAATTATTTTCTTTATTTTATCCCTACAACAGCCTTGCAAGGTAGGTGCTATTTACTGTTTCATAGTTGAGAAAACAGACAGAAGTGACTTTCTTTAGTCTTATACTAGCTACAAAATGCACTTGTTTGGAGGGATTTTATACTGATGTAATATTTTTTATATTATTACCATCTATATAGTAGCTTCATAGAATAATAATAAAGTAGCATTTTAGATAAGTTCTCAACATTTGTTGACCTGCAGAGTAAGATGTTTAATACTGTGCTAGTTTTTGGTTCTGTGGAAGCACAAAGGAAACTATATATAGATTTTTTTTCCTTATGAAATAAAATAAATTCTAAAATTAGGGCTTATCATTTTAACTTTCAGAGAAATCGATTTTATGCATTACCAATTTTGAGCAATTAAACTTCTCTGTATCAGACTTTAAAAAACCTCAGTGGCTTAACTGACTAGGAAACCTAATGTCCAGTGTACAGTAAAGATACTTTCTACTGAGACTGACTTGTAGATAAGTGGAAGCTGCTAAAGTGATATTCCTGCAGCTTTGCTTGTTAACTCTGCTGATCAGGAAGTGCCAATGACTACCTCTTGTCTTTAGAATAAATCTGAAGTTCTTTTATTTGGCATTTAAGTCTTTTATAGTCTGCGTTCAGTCTGTCTTTTCAGGTTTCTTATCCATTACTCTTCTTCATCAAGTCTTTGTTCCAGCCAAACTGTATACTTTGCTGTTTGTTGTAAACAATGTTCCATCTCGTCTTCTTCCTTGTACATGGTGTTTCCCATGTCTGGAATGCGCTCTTGCCTTCCTTTGTCCACTTAGGATCCCTACATCTCTTCAAAGTTTAGTTCAAATGTCACCTTTTACCCAAGAGCTGTTCTGACTTCTACTAACTTCCCCCCACTGTTAGTTTGTCACTGAAATTACTTTGTATATATTTTATATTTACATACATATGCATGTATTATTTTCCCCAATAATCTGTAAGCTCCTTGATGGAATGAAATTTTTATTCTTTCGTCTCTGGCACCTAGCACAGTGCCTGTTATATAGAGAACACTTAATGAATTGTTATTAATTAATCACAGAATCACAAAATTTGAAAGAAGGGACCTCAGCAACTTTCTAGTTCAATCCCTACACCAAAGGAATCACCTCGATAACATACCTTTCAAGAAACCATTTAGCTTCTGATCAAGGACTACCAAGGAGAGCAAAGGCACCACTTCTCAAGGCAACCTACTCCACTTTTTGGATAGCTCTAATTGTTAAGTTTTTCCTGATATTAAGCATAAATTTGTCTCTATGCCTTCCACATTATTCTTAGTTCTGCTCTTTGGTCCCCTTAGGGCCCCTCCTCCTTATGATAGTCCTTCAGATACTATCATGTCAAGTCAACAAGCACTTATTGTTTATTATGTGCCAGGCACTGTGCTAAGCACTGGGGATACCAAGAAAGGCAAAACAAAGTCCCTGCTCTTAAGGAGCTTATTCTATAATGTGGGAAATCAACATGTAAACAGTTAAGTGCCTTCAAAATATATACATAGTAGATGGAAGGCATTCTGAGAGGGGAAAGCATTTGAAGCTATGGGAAACCAGGAAAGGCCTCCAGGAGTAGATGTGAGTCCAGCTGAATTTTGAAGGAAGTCAGGGCCAAGAGGCCCAAGTGAGGGTGTAGAATATTCTGGGAACTGGAGGATAATTACTGCAAAAGTACAGAGATAAGAGAGGGAATATATTTTTGGAGTTCTAGTAGTCAGTGTTATTGGTATGTAGAGTTCAGTGGAGGAGAATAAAATGTGAGAAGACTAGAAAGGAAGAGGCCAGGTTATGAAGAGTTTTGAATGGTGAATAAAGGAATTTATACTTTATCCTGGAAGTAATAAGCCATTGGAGCTTATTAAGTAGGAGAGGTAGGGGAAGGTTGAGGGTGACATGGTCAGACCTACATTTTAGAAAAAAGCATTGAGGTAGCTAAGTGGAGAATGAAAAAGAGGATTGAAAGACAATTTTGGTAATCCGGGTGAGAGGTGATGAGGGCCTGACCTGGGATAGTGGATCTGGGAGAGAAGGGAGGAGGTACACACACACACACACACACACACACACACACACACACACACACACACACACACACACACGTTGTGAAGGTAGAAGTGACAAGATTTGGCAATGGATGGGATATATATTGTGAGTGAGAATAAGAAGTCAAGTATGACATCAAGGTTGCAAACTTAGGTGGTACCCTCAACAGTAACAGTGAAGTTCAGAAGAGGGAAGGTTTTGGGAGGAAAGATAATTGAGTTTTGTTTTGGACATACTGAGTTTCAGA